TTAATTTGCTTTTTAGTAATTGGGCTGAATTTCGTCCGACTGTCCTGCGTGGGCCAACCTGGGCCTTATTGGGGAGCAGCCTAAAATTAGGCGCGCTAGCCATTGCACCACTAAACGCAAAAAACAGAGGGCGGCTGGAGAATCGAACTCGAGACTTCCCATTTAGTACCCGCACGCGCTAGCCATTGCACCACTAAATGTTATTTGCAAATGTTGAGCAGCAAACACTATAAGAACTTAATCCACGACAGATCTAAACGTTTTTAGAAGTTCGAACGCAGTTCATTCTTTTCTTTGCAGAAAAAATGCAGTTTATTTTCAAAACCTGTATCTTTTTCTGAACGCGGACATTCCAAAAATAGCGAATAATTATTTTAAAATGTTGAACATTTTTCCACCTGTGAACAAATTTTTGAAAAACAGCAAAGCCTTTTTGTAATGTTGAACAAATTTTGAAAAACAAGAACATTTCATAAAATCTAGACGAAAAAAGAAAAAGCGAACATTTTTTGAAACTTGGAACAAAATTAGAAGAAAGTGAACATATTTTTGGATCTGGGAACAAGTTTTGAGAAAGGGAACATTTTTTGTAACTCTGAACAAAATTTGGCAATCGAACATTATTTTGAATTGTGAACATTTTTTGAAAAAAGCAAACAAGATTTGAAACTCAAACATTTTTTGAATTAATTTAAATAAGATTTCAAATGTGATTTTTTTTTGAAAATCTGAACATATTTTGAAAATGTGAGCAAGTTTTGGAACTCGAACATTTTTTGAATTAAGGGAAAGAACGTTTGAAAATGTGAACAAAATTTTGAAAATGCGAACAAGTTTTGAAACTCAAACATTTTTTAAATTAATAGAAACAAGATTTCGAAACCTGAATTTTTTTTGAAAATCTGAACATTTTAAAAAATGCGAAACTCGAACATTTTTTGTATTAATAGAACAAGTTTCCTATATGTGAACAAACTTTTGAAAATCTGAACATTTTTTATTTTTTATCATTTATTGAATAACATGATCAAAATTCAATTTTTCCAAACATTATTTGAAATTTTGTACTAAATTTGAAATTCCAAACAGATTATGAAATTCTGAATTTATTTAAAATTGGAAACTGAAAAGGAAACAAAGAAGAACAGAAAAAAGGAAAAAATGAAACAGAAAAAAATGAAAAACAAAACGAAAAGAAAACAAAAATGAAATAAAAGAACCGGTTTAGGAACCTTCTAGAAGATTCCTCAAACCGGAAAAGACCGGCTGGGACCTCCTACTAGAAGCGTCCCGAAACCGGGAACGAAGAACACATGAACGGGCCGGGCCATCGCAACGCTAGATCGCGACCTCCTGTGCGAAATGTCGACATCTTGACGCAGAATGCGTCATATAGGATTTTCCGGGAGCGAAGTCCGCAACCAGTAGAGCCAGCATGCCTGTCTGTTAAAAAAAGCTCTTTACCTAATAGTCTGTAATTAAGAGAATAATTAATGCAGGGAGGAACGCGCTTTGTGCATGGCTGGGAAATTAAGAGGAATTGATCCCTAAGTAGTAAAAGGGATTGATTTGGTGAGAGTCGGCCGTTTGGATTTGTGCTTCTGATGTGTTATCATGAAAGCATCACCACGGGGATCGCAGATGCCAGGACATGTACGTACATGACCAGCAGCAACCGGTGACCGACGTCCCCGAAGCGAGGTTTGCCACATATGAGCGGGATGAGGATTAGATTGGTATTCTTGATTTTGTTTATGGCAGTGAAAAAGGGACGTCCAAAGAGGGAAGAAGAGGGATGCTCGTGCTTTGCATGACTCTATGTAATTAGAGATTTACTAACGAAAGAAGAAAGCGTGGGAAGACTCATGCCCCACATTGGGACGACCGTAGGAGAGCCAGAATAGCATTTGGCGCATTATAAAAGAACGGAATATAAGAATGTTTTTTTGCAACCAAATTTACATTTTTTTTCTTCGAAAAATTATCTGATTGATCGAACCTCATTGCTGCAACCAGAATAGTAAGTACATGACACTGCAAGTGTGGTCGATGCTGCTGCAAGCGGGACGCGGCGCATCTAGGCCGAACGACCTATATATGCATCTAGCGAAAGCACGCCAATGCAACACCAGTTGCCGGCTTGCCGCTATTCTTTTTCATTAGAAAAGTTGGACTGCCGTGTTGCAAAGCCGACTATGCATACCCTACAAGGATGATTGGTGGTATTTTAAGTCGGAAGGACGAGCCGACTATGCATACTCTACAAGGACGGCTGGTGGTATTTTAAGTCAGAAGGACGACGTCGCAAAGCCGACCACATAAACACGGTAAGAACGACCGACATTGATGTAAAATCAGACGTATATCGTTGCGAGGTCAATCTATGTTACAGCAAATTGTATGTCGTCCAATGCTATCATATCATGCATGTGGATATTTTAATGAACACGTCAATTTTTTCTCCCGTTGCAACGCACGGGCCCTTTTGCTAGTTTTCCTAATAAAGCATGGATTAACTCCGTGGGTTCACCGTCACAATACGCTTTTTCCCATGAATTTACGCTTTCAGTTTAAATTTAAAACATATACTCGAGGTGGTACTAAAAAACCGTTTCGTCCGTCCGCCCGTTTTTCCTTCTTTTCTCTTTCGTAGGCGTTGGGGTCACCCGTCGCCCACTTGGGCCACAGCCCGTAGAATCCATACGAGACACCGTGGTAGCCGGCCCAGTCAATCTAGAGAGGAGGCAAAATATTCCGCTGGTCGTAGGAACAGACACGACCACGGGCTCTCCTCTCTCCCTCTCCTCCGGATCCCAGCCGCCAGGAGGCGCACGACCTGCGCGACGCTCGATCCGGTGCCGCGCCGGCCGCCGACCGATGGCCGACGCCGGTGATCGGAGCACACTGCACCACCGGTCTGCCTCAGCTCCCCCCTTTCCTTTGCGCGCCCGAGCTCCTCGCTGTACGCCGCCCGGGAGGGCTCGCGCTCGCCGCTCGACCAAAGCCACCGCCGGCCGGTCCGGTGCCGCGCCGGCCGCCGGCAGATGGCAGACGGAGGTGTTCGAAGCATCCTGCACCACCGGTCTGCTTCATCTCCTTCTTTCCTTCGCATGCCCGAGCTCCTCCCTGTAAGCTGGCTGGGAGGGCTCGTGCTCGCCGCCACCGCCAGCCGGTCCTCCCTGCACTTGCCCGCGACCTCTCCGCCCCCTCTACACCGCCCTACACCTCAACTTCAGACGCACATGTGTTTGTGGATGTTCTCGGTTATTTTTTGCACACAAGGTGTTTGTGTGTTTGTCTGAGCCAGTTTCAGTCACAGATCCTTGAAGTAAACTCCCACATACGAGATTAGCTCTCCTTCCATATGATTCAAAAAATGGTAGGATGGTGGGAGTTAATTGGGATACTAGAATAATGGGTTGCTAATTAATTTACATCATGTGGAGTCTCAAGACACATGGGTACGCTGGCTCCTATTGTTTGACAAATTTATATTGAACTTTCTTTAATCGTATAAAGGAGTTGCAGTTAGGTGTTGCCCTTTTCTATGCCTAGACACAGCAGCTCCAATAACATCTGGACGCTCATGGTGAGATATATTAATTATTCTTATAATGGTCATCTGAATTTGCAGAGACAATTAGATTTTGGAAGCAGGAATCCTTTCCTCATAAGATGGATGAGCTGTAGGATTTGATTCTGTTCAGCTTGAATTAGTTTTTCATCATCATGTTCTATGTATTAGGAATTCATGCCTTACAGCTCTAATTTTTTCGCATTGTTGGTGTATGCTGGGAGTCACATTGTAATGCATGCTAGCAAACAGTAGGATTGAAAGTCTTACCCTGTTGGTTATTAATATCTTTTCCACTATAGTGAGGTTCAGCAATTTAATTCGTATTAAGGTCACACAAACAGTTTGGTTTTCAGATTTGTCTTGACAAACATATTTGGTTCAACAATTTAATTCGTATTAAAGTCACACAAGCAGTTTGATTTTTAGATTTGTCTTGACAAACATATTTTTGCAGATTATCCTTACATAAGCAATTGATTTCTGCAAGTTCCTTTCACTTCTTATTTATTTCTTCACTTGGTTATGATGTACTGCTATTCGTTTTCATGATGATTCATGCATTTTGTAGTTTTCACTCACAGAATGTTCTCTCTAAACAAGATTGGTTCCCATTCTTACAGTGAAGTAGCTACTGAGCAGTGAGGCCATCGAGCGACACCAGACCGCGGGACAGCGTGAGAAGAGGCAGGGGGTGTCTGGCGGGATGGGGAAGACCACGAGGAAGTGTGGCGATGGAGTGCAATCCCGAAGAAGAAGAACATTGCAAAGAAAGACCCTAGCCAAGCGCCACCCAATTCTCTTTCATTGACCTATCTAATGGCCATCAATTCAATTGGTCCAAGCTGCTGCGTTTGACCTTCCCACTGACCCACTACATCCTCGCTCAGCTGCTTCTGCTATGTTTCTTCTCCATGGCATTGTCGGCTGCCAGTGTGCCTGACATCATGCCTATGTGACCTCATATCATGCTCCTCTACGTGTTCTTCTCACCCTGGTTCCATGAGGAGAGATGTTGTTCTGTGGTTCTGTAGCTCTACTCCATAGCAATGATGGAGTCGCCTCCAGATGGGATAGCAATTATCTCGGGATCATGGTGAGGTTACTGAGTCGACCCTTCATTTGGCTCTATTCGTGTGGATCTATTCATGTGCATCTGTAAACTGTATTTAGGTACAACTATTGTTCTAGCACTTGTGTTTATTATTTTTGTAAAAAAAAGATTTCTTGATCTCATTAAATTGGGGTTTTATGTTGACATGAAATTCTAACTGAATTGCTATTTAGCTGACAATTCCAATAATTTTTTGTATTGTATTTGCATGTACGGAGCTGCCTAAGCAACGGCCAGGGGGCATATGCTTCTCCTACCACTAACATCTTCATCCTATTTGAGCCAGAATAGCTTTGGTGCCCTCTCTCGCTCATGGTGAGGCCGTGCACGCTTGCCATGGTTGTGGCTACGAAATCTCAGACTGAGTCGCTTCGGTCGGGCACTATTCAGGTACAACTCACTTTGCTCCACCATTGTTGGTTGCTGTGCATCACATGCTTGAGGAAATTCAGAGATGGTGTTGATCTTGCTCTTGCTAGACCATCCTTGTTGTAAATCATTATTGGGTTCTAGCTAGGGTCTTAGGAATTGATAATTTCCAGATTGTATCGCTGAAAATGTAGTTCTTATAAGATTCTCATTGTCAAGTTGTTATGGCAGCATGAGTGAAAATATGTTCCTTTTAAATGCTTAGATTCTATAGAAACCTCTAATCTATATCCTAAATTACTGTATTGTGTGCTCTTGTAAAATAAACTGTATATATTGATTCAATTTATATATGTAGTACAATGATTTTGCTCACATCACAAATATCTAACAACAAGAGTGGTACTGAGTTCACTTGCAACCAAAGCATTTAAATTCTAGTTCAACATTGCATATTCCTATCTAATAAACGGTCAGATGTTTCAGATTAATGTGGGAATTTCTAGCACATTCCTCTTTTACGGTGACGCTAGATTCGAATTTGAAGGCGTACTTGCCCCTGAGCTGGCGGTGCCTAAGAACAACGACGACAAAATTCTGGCATCGTCTCCAAGCTCTGTCGCAAGCAACACAGGAACGCCTCAGGCTCAAAGTCGGGTTGCTGTGCAGGCGAGCGGCAACAGCCACTTACGTCTCTTCCAAGAAGGGCGCCACCTTGGAGGAGCATAACGACACCGGCTGCAGCGGCGCACGAGCCAACAAAGGGGCAGGACCATTGGAGACGACGGACACAGAGGTGCATGATAGGCATGCCGATCATCAGACACTATGGAGCGATCCCACCCGTGATGCCGCAGTACACGCAGCCATCGCCGCCACCGCCACATGCCATGATCTACGGGTAAGTGCCTGCTCAGCAGCGTACAAGAGAAATCACCGCGGGGCCCTACTCGCCAAGACGATGCTTCTCTTATCGTGCTTATTTACTTGCCTTATATGTGTGACGAGAAGGAGCGGGAGATTCAGAGGCTCAGGTTGGCATCACTAGGTGAGTTCCCTGCTGATTTGTCGAGCACGGGATATAGACTATAGTCGGGTTCCTTCCTAACTCTGCTGGGCCTAATGAAGAGAAAGAATCAACTTTTGAGATTAATTGGCTAGATCCAAGCAGGCAGCTGCACAACATCGTCAAGGAGAAGATGATAACAATGCGATGTTCAAAGAAGCAGGCTCCAGTTTTGGTAAATGAGTAGTGATGTTGCAACCACCAAAACAAATCTGAAAAATAAGACAAAGACAAACAGGTTGAGAGGTTGGTTAATGATATGGAAGATCAAGTAAAAAAACGAATTATTGGAAGCCCCGGCAAGCAAAGTAAAGAAAACCCTACTTAACTTGATCACAAAGGTTGGATCGTGCAAGTACATGTTGTATAAGTTTACTAGGCTGGGACAGGTCGTACTGGTGGTTGCTGGCAGAATTCTGATGTGATTCACATGTTCTTCAGTTCAGAAGATGAAACAAAAACTCTCCAAAGAGGGGAAACAAGCACAGATAAAGCCTGAAGAGATATGCAATTTGGACTTATAGGAACTGTCACTTCATTATTATAGTGGAGTTAAAGGAAATAGGAGGCATGAAAACATGACGAGCGAGGAAAGATCACTGCTATGGAAGAAAAAATGCAAGTCCATGTGATTTTGCAATAGGAGAGGCTTAGACTTTCAGGGTTTTTACTTGAAAAATCGCATTTGGTACTTTTGAGTATTTTTTATACTGTTTTGCTCAATCAAAATTCACCACATGTTTTTGTTTATACCCGTTGCAACGCACGGGCATTTTTACTAGTAATAATAAAGTATGGATTGACTTTGTTGGGTACACCGTCGCATCCTTTTTTTGAAAAAGTCCCTACTGTTTTCTAAACTTAACCCACACTCCATGTTTAAGTCATACAAAAAAACTTGGCCGCACGCTCCTCTTCCGGTCCCTCCATGCCTCGCCATCCCCGCCGCCCCCGCACTTCTCCCTCCTGGCGTCCACACTTCTTCCTCCCGGCAGCACTCTCCGCCGCCTCCTTCCTCTCCGTGCTCCTCGATGGACACCGCTCCACGCGCTCGCCCCGGCCCACACCATCGTCGCCAACCCCCTCCTCCACCTCTATGCCTCCCGCGGCCTCCCCGACGCCACGCTCGTGCTCTTCTGTCACATCCCCGCAAGTCCCTCGTCTCCTAGAACACCGTCGTCGACGCGCTTGCCGGTAACGGCAACCACCTCGGCACGCTCGACCTCTTCCAGGAGATGCAGCGGGGCATGGGCCTCGCGCCCGATGCCTACACCGTGCAGAGCGTCCTCGGCACGTGCGTGCTCTCGGTCGATGTCTATGCGCATGCGCTGCTGCGCCAGCTCGGGGGCCACGACGACATTCTCATCAACTCGCTCGTCGACCTCTACGGTAAGTGCGGAGCCCTCGAACTCGCACGGCAGGTGTCCTACCAGATGCCCGAGTGGGACATCACGTTGTGGAATGTGGCGATTCTCACGCTCGCCAACCAAGGATGCATGCGCGAGTCCTTGGAGCTATTTGATCGGATGACGCGGGTGGAGAATGTTGTGCCCAACGCAATCACCTTCCTTGTAGTTCTTAGTGCGTGCAAGCATGTCGGGATGGTGGAGGAAGGCAGAAGATACTTCGAGATGATGGTCAGCAAGTGCAGGATCCGGCCGAGGATCGAGCACTATGGGTGCATGGTGGACATATTGGCAAGAGCTGGCTTCATCGAAGAGGCTCTGGATGTCGTGTCTGGGATGAACTGCCGGCCTGATGCTATCATCTGGAGGAGCCTACTAGATGCATGCTGCAAGTAGAATGATGGGTTGGAGCTTAGCGAGGCCATGGCCAAGCTGTCACTCGACATTCCGGTTTTGGTTTGATCTGACGGCTTAAACAGGCAAGTTAGATCTATTAGTCTAACAGAAAAAGAAAAGATAACGTTAATGAAAAAGGCCCCACGCATCAATGTACATGGGCTTTTTATCCCAACTGAGACACCTTGATCGGGGGCACCCAAACCAACTGATTGTTTAGGTCCCCTGTCCCTAGCGCTAGATAAAAGGGGGTACGGGAGAGGGTTGGCAGCGTGCGCGATCACAATTCTCGTACGATTTCACTCCCCTCCCGATATTCTCTCACCCCATCCGATCAGGGGGAGCACTGTAACGACGGGAAGACCTACACGAGCCACCGCTGTCGTCCCCAGATAGTGCCGGTGGCGTCCTGAGGGCATCAGGACATTGAGGAGGACTTCTACCTCGACTACATCACCGCTGCGTCACGCCTGCATCAAGCAGGCGATCATGTCCACTGCTGTGACATGTAAAGAACCTCTGATCCCTTCTCTATTCATTGTTATTGGGTGATCTAGATGCAATATTGATCCTGCCGATGGCATCCCATAGATGCATAATTAATCCAACAATGGTATCAGTCACCAATTTTGATTGCTTTTAGATCCCTACATTATGATCAGTAAATCAATCTTAAGTTTAGGCCCTCAGTAGATCAAGTTTGATTGCTACTATTTTTTATGTTGATATCAATTGCCCACTGTTGATGATGTTTTCATTCCAATATGCTATAGATCAGTACCGCCACCTAGTTTCATCAATTTTAATTAATCCAAGTTAAGATCTAATACACACACGTCAACAGTAGCAACCCCTCATGTTGAAGAACCCTTGAATTTATCCCCAATTAGAAAGAACCCTAATTCTGAAATTAGGACTGTTTTCCCCCCAAATCAAGCACTGATGTACACGAATTGGAGAAGAATGAGGAGAATCCTCACCTAATGCACTGCATAGCCGCCTTTTCCCTTCGGGGCCCGCACAACGCCCACCGCTGTGCGAGAGCGGAGATGCCGCGACGCCGTCGTGCCCTGGCCGACGAGCAGAATGCTCCTACGCCTTGCTGTCGCTCTTACGGATGCGTGCGTGTATGGGCCATCGCCCTACACATCGCTGTCGACCCCTTCATGCCGTGATGGCCAGCGCCCCTCCCGCCTCCTTGATGCGCCATGTGCATGGACACCGGGGCCACATTCGATGAGGGAGCGCGTAGGATTCATCCTGCTGCACGCTCCTCCGACGAGCGTAGCCGGCGCGCCTTCGAGCCGTCGAGCTCGTCGTCGCTCTGCTAGAGAGTGAACACCGGGGAGGAGGGGAAGAAATGGGTAGGATTTCACTCGGCCGCTGGTTTTGCTCAGTTGTGGGGCGATCCGAGACGTCGGCTCGATCCAACAACTGAGAGTGAGGCGCGACTCCTTGGAGGCCTTCGGGCGCTTTATGGGTCGTTTCCTCGGCCGGGCTGAAGCCCAAGTTGCCTTATTCCGGCACAAAGTCTTTTTCTTTACACTTTAAGCTGCTGGTTTTGGCCGTTTTGGGGGATAACCGTGGGCATTTTTGGGCCGAAATAATTTTGGCTATTTTCTATATTTTTCTAGTGCGTTTAAGTTAATAGTTATTATGTTTTTGCACTATTTAAAACAGAAAATGCCTAAAAATATAATGAACACGTTATTATTCTGGGTAAAATTGAAGCAACGAGATATTTTATTGAGGATTTATTATGTGTTTGCATGATGAACTTTTTAGACACCAAATAATGATAATGTTTTTTATGTTGATGTTTAAATTGAGAATGAAATGACTCTAATTTTAATTCGGACCGAGGTTGTTTTATTATTATGAGTCATCCCTTAGGATATTTTAATTCCATGTTTTTCCTGCCCAACAGTGTTTTGACATGGAGTTGACATTAAATACTTGCCATGTTTTTTTATTTACCAACATAAATTTATAATCATATAAGTTTACTTATGAATTTTTATGATAATTTCAGCTTCCGCTCCATTCCGGTCCGACACGATCGAACCACTTATGAGGAGTGACTTCCCTCGTTGGAAGTCCCAAGTCGAATTATGTTTGGGTAGTAATGAGTTTGATTGTGCCTTGAGGGAAGAAAACCTGTGATACATGTGGCAGGTGCTACAGGGTATGCAGAACTCAAGTAGGACTATGATGTTAAGATGGAAAAGTGGAACAAGTCCAACCATATTGCCCTTCTCATCATGAAAGCGACAATATTGCCAGACATTTCTGAAGCACTACCTAAGAAAGACACTGCTAAAGAATTCCTCAATGTAATGGAGGAGAAATTTAAATGCTCTGACAAAGTGTATGCTCATGAACTTTTTACTAAGCTTTTTAAGAAATACACCATTGATGGAAATGTTAGGCAGCACATACTAAGGCTGGTGAATGCTTACACCAAGCTTAAAGCTTTGGAGTGTTCCTTAAGTGAATATTTTCTTGTAATAATGATTGTTGAGTCTCTTCCAGAAGAATTTGAACAATTTAAGGTTAACTATAACTCTCTCAAGGAAAAATGGCCACTCGGTGAGATGACTGCAAGGATCGTCCAGGAGGAAGAGAGGATCATGAGATCGAAGAAAGACCATGTTTTTCATGTTGACTCTCACAAGAGAAAGCGTGAAGGGCAAGGTTTCCCTAAGCATCAGAAAAAGCAATTCAAGAAAGAAGGCCCTAAGCCATTCATGGGTAAAGAAGCCAGCAACTCTTCTTCAGCTGGAGAAAATGCTTGTAACTTCTACAAAGAGGAGGGACACTATCAAAAGGACTGCCCAGGCTTTCTAAAATGGATGAACAAACGAGGTATTGGTGAAATTAATTTTGTAGATGAATCTCTTTATGTCGATTTTTCTATAAAGTCATGGTGGATTGATTCAGGTGCAACCGCTCACGTTGCTAACTGTATGCAGGGATTCGATACGATCCAAACTATAAGAGGAGGGACAAGAAAGTTTAAGGTTGCGAACAGAGTTGCGGCCGTGTTGAAGCTGTGAGATCTCTCGCATTGGAGCTACACACCGGCCACCCTTTTATATTAAATAATATTATTTATGTGCCTAACTTAAGTAGGAATTTGATTTCAGGTTCTCATTTAGATGATGATATGTATGAGTGCCA